CCAGTTTACTTCTTGTTTCATATTTGTGGTCCAATGAAATGAGGTTTGTTTTATTTTTGAATAAATTGATCAAAACGTTGTAAAAAAGTGTTGCCTAAGATCGAGTAGTCTCGCTTCGGAGTTATCAGGCGGATATATAATTGGCCGTTTAAAAATAATTTTCAAAAATTGTTTTTGGATTATTTCTAGCTTCTTAATTTGGTTGGTGAGAGCACCACCCCAAGCTAGTATGGCATAATTCAGGCGACATTCAATAAGTGCATGATATAAAATCTCCATTGTTTCATGATCTAGATATTTAGTGAAGTACTTGAATTTAAATAATAATCGTCTTAAATTAGTTACTCTATGCTCAACATGAAAATTCCACTTTAAATGAGGATCCAAATGAACACCTAAATATTTTGTTTTATCAGCTGATATTATTAATGTACTTGTATTGTCACATTTAATTTGTAAAGAGGTAAATGACGGTAATTTATTTTTAGAGTTTGTGAACGACATATACTTGGTTTTCTGAAAATTGATTGTTAGATATTTGTGTCGAAACCAATCTAAAATTAAAGTAATGTCATTTTCAACAGTCTCTTTAAGATTATCCCAGGAATAGTATTAGAATAAAGTATCGCTGTGTCTGCACAACATATTATTGTGCCTTGTGACTTCAAGCTAAGTAGGCTATTGATATACACAGTAAAAAATAACGGGCCTAAAATGGTCCCTTATGGTACAGCATAAGTCACAGTTTTTTCTGAACTTATGAATCATTTATTTGAACATATTGCTTGCTGTAAAACAGGTAACTTCTCGTAAGGTTTTGAGCGTTTCCTCTAATTCCTGCAACGTGTAAAGTTTCTAATAGTAGCGAGTGATCCACCGTATCGAACGCTTTTGCTAGGTGTAAGAATATGCATAATGTATATATACTTTGCTCTAATAATTTAAGAATTTTTGATGTCAATAAGGAAACCGTCTCTTGAGTAGATTTATTTTTTTTTAATTCAAACTGATGTATAAGTTTATTTTTGTTGAAACAACTAATGAGCCCTTTATGATTTTTCCAACCATCTTTGCCAAATTAGATATTAATGTTATTGGCCTATAGTTGCTGGTATTAGATATGTCGCCAGATTTATGAATCGGTGTTATTATTTGTAAAAATCCCAGATTCAATTATCAAATTTGTTAAAAATGTTAGTGGTTTTCTAATTCCAGGTCTCTGATCGTATGCCATCTAAACCTGGACTCTTTTTATTTTTTAGGCTGTAAATGGTATGTTCTGTTTCATTTTCTGTAACTGGTTCAAGAACAATTGAATTTTGTATGATTACTTTATATGGAATATTGATGTTAGGTTCATTTATTTTAGTTGCCAGTTTCCCTTCCGCTTGAACTAAATAGTTATTGGAAACGTTAGCAATATCTGTATCTTGTTGATCTATATTTCTCCAGTCACCTGTTGAGCTCTAAAGTTCCTCTATTTATAATAATCTGTTCCAATTTGACCGCTCTGTATACGCATAAAAGCGATTTACGCATTGACTCCAGACGTGGCCGGCACAACGGTTCACTCCTCAACTTCGACCGTGTTGGCCTGTCGTCCCACATACACGATAAGAAGGGGTGCGGGGCGGGAGGGCGGAAGGGGATACATCTTGGAAACCACCCTCGTTTAAGCGCCTGTTGATCACAAATTCCCCGCACCGAGGGGTAAGGCATTCCCAAGACAAAAAAAATGAATACTGCGGCCAAGGGCGTGCGTCAAGCTTCGATTGTTTTTGCCGGAAAAAAGCTTCGTTCATCTGACCGAAAACGTGCTTTTTTGCATCTCATCGGCATAGTCTAGACTTGGTCTTACGTAGGACAACGAATAGAAGCTTGGTTGCTTAGATTTCGTTCATTGTTCTACCTGAGACCCAGCCTAGATCACGCTGATGATTTACCAAAAAGCACAAAAAGTTGTACCTACTATTCCACCAGAAAGGGCGGCATCTAGCGGTGACCGTGGTGACCCGGCTCGGATGCAGTCGCCTGCTGCTTCACACTCGTAGTGATCGGTTCTGGTAATAGATGGCGCTTTGTGCTACCTTATTTCCATATTTCTGTCGAGTTTTGTCTTTTTGAGCGTAAATAGTTAACATAATCTCGTTTTCGTGCAAAGGATTGAACAGTGCCGTCAGTTATAGTTATATAAAAATTCCGATCTCCGTAGAAATAATTTTTTCGTAAGTATCAAAAATCCGGATTTTTTCCTGCTTTCTCAAAATGGTATTGGTTCAGGAAGTATCCTCGCGCCTGCTCGGAAAAAAATCTGATTCCGTTTTTTTTGCATAATCTTATTCAAAGATCGCCTCTCTTTAAGAATTGGATTTTTCTTGTGTTTCATAGCTTTCTTGGTTCATATAGGCGATCTAATATTTGAAAAAGTGCGAAATCAATTATTCTCGACCCCGAAAAACTATATGAAAGAACGAAAATTCTAATTTTCTCAAAGTTCCTGATTATTCTTCAAGCATTCGTTAAAAAATCTCAAAGCATTTTAGGGGGTACTGTTATTATTTAAAGAACAGGTCTCTTTACGAATTGGATTTTTCGCCCAAAGTGTTTCATAGGTTTCTTGGGTCACTCAAATCTATATAGGCGTTTAATATTTCAAAAATTGCGAAGCATATCATTTTCGACCCCGGAAAACTATATGAAAGAAAGAAAATGCTAATGTTATCAAAGTTCCTATTTATTCTTCAAGCATTCGTTACAATATTTCAAAGAATTTTAAGAGGTACTGTTATTATTCAAAGAGCACCTCTCTTTACGAATTGTATTTTCGCTCAAAGTGTTTCATAGGTTTCTTGGGTCACTCAAATCTATATAGGCGTTTAATATTTCAAAAATTGCGAAGTATATCATTTTCGACCCCGGAAAACTATATGAAAGAAAGAAAATTCTAATGTTATCAAAAATCCTAATTATTCTTCAAGCATTCGTTAAAAAATTTGAAGGCATTTAAAGAGGTACTGTTATTATTCAAACAGCACCTCTCTTTACGTATTGAATTTTTCGCTCAAAGTGTTTCACAGGTTTCTTGGGTCATTCAGAATCATATAGACGAGTTAATATTTGAAAAATTACGAAATATATCATTCTTGATCCCGAAAAACTACATGAAAGAACGAAAATTCTAGTGTTATCAAAGTTCCTAATTATTCTTCAAGCATTCGTCAAAAAATCTCAAAGCACTTTAGGGGGTACTATTAGTATTTAAAGAGCACCCCTCTTTAGAATTGGATCTTCTTTTGCTCAAAGTGTTTCATAAGTTTCTTGGGTCATTCAAAGCTATATAGGTGATTTTATATTTGAAAAATTGCGAAATATGCCATTTTCGACCCCGAAAAACTATACGAAAGAATGAAAATTCTATTGTTATCAAAGTTCCTGATAATTCTTCAAGCATTCGTTAAAAAATCTCAAAGCATTTTAGGGGGTACTGACATTGTAAACCTTTGTTAAAAGATATCATTTTTTGATAGACTGGTCTTGAAGACAAGAGTCCGTCTGACATTGATAGACTAGTCCGTTTTATTGCGAGAAAACTGTTCCAGTACAGTTCTGTTAATTTTAGTACTAGATCCGATATACTAGTTATCGCATTATGGAGTTATAGTAATTCTGATAACAAATTCGTAATCGGCCACCCGAAGATCACTAGGATAAAATTTTTCAAACCACTTAATAATGTTTTAGATTTGTTAATATTTTTGAGTAATATCTGCAATGTAAATCGTTAGCAACAGTATTGAAAGAACTATTTTCCATAAATCCTTCTCAAAAATATTATATACAGGGTGCGCATAATATTATGTTAGGGCTAGTCCGGCTGTGACGTTCTAAATTTGTTGATTGTCTTCCATGGACATCATCAAATTGAGCTTCAACCCTTTATCTCAGTAGGACATTTTTTTCGTTGGAACTTGTGACGTTATTTTTTGTGGTCTATACGTGCAAGGTGAAAGATTGTCAATAACAGAGCCCTGCGGACTCTGAGATTGTGATGTTGAATGCCTGGTCTTTCAGGTGGCTTAATTCTGGATTTGCTCTACTTAATATAATAAAGGTAACTTTGGAACGATCTGAAATACGGTCCAATGAAAACGTGAGCGCCATTTTCCGTTATCGTTTACTTGAGAGATTTCGCATAGCATCTCAAAAGAAAACCAACATGACCAATTCTGACAATCCTTCTACAGGGTCATCAAAATACTCAGAAATGCACACAAAAGTGAACGACAGACTCGCCATTTTGAAAGTACCGACGTACAGTGAACACACGATGCTCAACGTTCCAAACCATCTTGCCGGCTGAAACGGCACTTCTCCCACTATAAAACACGCCCTTCCCCACCGACACGGGACCAGCCGACTCGATGGAGTATCCATTCGAAAAGCATGCGTTCTTTCTGACGGACCCTGTATAAGCGCGTAACCGATGCAGAAATCCCTCACCCATCATGAGTCTCACGCACGGAGAAACGGGCTCGGTGCAAGTGTGACAGCGTGAGCGCCATGATCTGTCCATCATGTTTTTGAGATCTTTCGTATAGCATTTCAAAAGAAAACCAACATCTTCAATCCTTCATAGAGTGCGTAACTGATGCAAAAACCCTCACTCATCATGAGTCCAACGCACTTGAGCACGAGCCCAGTGAAAGTGTGACAGTGTGCGTCGCGGCGTGGTGATCCTCCTCCGCCGTCACCCGCTCACCCCTTGTCCTAGTTCCGCCCCTCTGATGGCAGCGGCAGGAGAAGCGGCAGCAGCGAGGAGGCAGTCAGCGCGCGTTCGATTTTTTTCGTATTTTGATATTTTTAATTGCGGGCCTGTACACCCATAGCGAACACTCGTTATTCTGCGCATTTTCATCCGCGCGGGAGGAGGCAAGGGGGCGCACCGCCTCCACGGCGACCGTCCGCAGGCACACGCACTATTTTTTAGTGTTAGCTTATTACAGCAGATGTCTCATAGCCATGTCCCAATAAAGAATAAGCTTCGAGCGACGTCGGTCCTATACCTCACCCGCTACGTTTTTTTAATAATCGGCGCGACTCTGCACATCGCTCCTCCATCGTTCGAATTTGGCGGGCGAATCTCAGTGCCTTCTGCGATATACAACAACCGCTGTCTCGCGAAAAAAAAATCGCATCGCGCCGCCCCAGCATCGTGTGTGAGTGAGTGCCTAGCCTACTATGACCCGTCTATGAACCAAACGCACTCGCCATGGCCTACTACTACTATCTGACAGACACGTTGCCATTGAGTACATGACTGACCAGTTTCAAAACTCAGGTAACTTTCTCACAACATCTAGGAAATTATTATATTTATGATATCATTATCTTATTTATTGCATAACCATCCCCATCTTCTACACCTCATCTAGAACTTGACTATATGAGTTGCAGTTAATGTTGCGTTCTCTCAGAGTACCGAAACGCCGGCTTTTAACCGGTATTTTAATGGAAACGCGGATGATCATTTCAAGTCATGAAACACAGGAGACTTCCAACGAAGTTAACCAGTATGATCTACAGTAGAGTTTACTTTCTAAATTAGTTTTTAACTGGGCATTGAGAAGTCGGCATCGAATTGCAAATAAAGCGTCATATATCATTTTAAACCTACATTTGAGTTCAGCTGTGACTGAAAAAACTTGGTAATGTTCCCAAACATATAACAAGTTCAAGATCAATTTGATTCAAGCGAATAGTTATCAATTTTTTTCTGTTTGACCAGTCATTCAAGGTATAAAAATATATAGATTTTTGACAGGCACATTTGTACTGGGTACAGTTTCAAAACTATAATTTTCGGAAACTAACTTTCACGTCATTAACTCGCTAAAATCTAGAACATTCTTTTTGTTATCTCAATCATTGCATGATCATCGTCACGTTCTTCTTATCTAGAACTCAGCAGTGTTAGTTGCAAGTGTCACTGAGTTAAAGTTACCTTTAAACTGAGCACTAAAATACCGGCACTCAACCGACAATCATTTAGAAAATATAACGCTAGATTTAAACGAAAAAAATTCCAGCGGAGTTGACCAGTGTGAGTTGCATTTGTTATTAAGAGGCTGTAACTTTCCAGGTTTACTTCTAACTGAGCAATTAAAAGCAGGCTTTTAACTGGTTTTTTCGATTCTAGATTGAAGTTCAGCCTTGATCCAAGAAACTTGGGAAAATTCCAAAGAGCATGACAAAATCAGATCAATTTAATTTCGAGGAAGCTTAAAACGAAAACCCACTGCTTGTTCAAATAATATCACCTGAAGCTTTTAAATGTATTTATTATCATAGAAGCACAACAAAGACATAAATATGTGTATGAGATTGAACTAATCCCTTGCCGATATAATTTTGAAAAAAACACCCCGTCAGCTTTTATGAATGTTTTTGTCCGATAATTTTAAGCTCACCTAAATCTAGAAAAGCCTTTTTTGTCGCTTTATCTATTGCACAATCTTCATCAGTCTGGCAACTATCTTAATCATTGATAATCGAAAAGATGGCACGAAATGCAAATGATAAGCTAAGCCGTGAATGGCGATAGAAGCAACATTGGAAAATTCCGCATTCTATCTTATTGTTCCGATAAATTAAGATATCCTGATCTCACTGACTTTTTCCAATTTTTTCTGCCTACAATATTTGAATACAAAATGGTCGCTCTTAAAAGTAGAACGAAAATATTATTAGTTATAACGTAGTAGCAAAAAAACAATTGACTGCTTTTATATAGAGCAAGATTTTGGAGCTCACTTTTGGTAATTTTTTGAGCACATCAGACCAAACCAAACCAAGAACATAGTCAAAAATATTTTAACTACTATAACTAATGAAAATATCAGATCATCATATGATTCATCGGCTGCACTCAAAGGTATCAGTTAAAACAATAAAATGAACGCTTTAGACAACAACAAAGAAAAAACAGCATTAGATCATATAGTCTACTTCTGTTAAATACTTGAGGAGCTCTGTAACCAAGGCATAAAAAAAACCAGAAACGTGTTATATACATAGCTACAATTAACTGAAAAACTATCAAGTCAACTTGCTGCCAGAGCAGCACTTTCCAAAATATCAAAACGAAACCCGCAAGCTGCATAGGAGCTGCCTTCACATTATGGTGGATGCACATTGAAGTATCGTAGATATAGGTGAATGCGCTCATGCATATACAGGGTCTCCCAAACAGAAAGATGATATTCAGGCAGCAAGATTGATGCGTCATAGGTGTATACTTCTAAATTATTTGGAAATATGCAGGGTGTCACATAATTCCGTGGGACGACCAACATACCCTTTCTTTAAACGGAACGCCTTATATTTTATTAGAGATTTGGAAAGCCATTTTTAAAAAAATAACATTGCAATAATACACAATACTATTATTTGCTTAGTTATTTTATCATTTGTTTGAGAAAGTGCCCTACCTGTGAAGACTTTAAACTTCACTGTTTTGCGTAGTTTTTCATTTGGGTTTTCAGCGCAAAGTGCCAATAGTATGATTTATTTATACAGTTATACGTGTTTTTCCCAAAAACTAAATCGAATACCCCGTATATTTTAAACCGTCAGATTCACCATTTCGTAAGCTTCTATTTGATATAAGGTTATTTCTAGAATATCGCATATTTAGCTACCAAATCGTATCATCCATGGAAACAATAACTATTTTGTACATGGAAAATTTACTCATATAACCATGACCTAGCTTCTTTGTTAGTTTCTCTTAATTAAGACGCAGTCGCTTCCTCTGGGACGCCGAAGAAATGTCTAATTAGTTAATCAAATGAAATAACTAATTATATCTGAAAATCGAATAAGCAGTGAATGTAAGATTGAATCTTCAGTTACTATATCACTAAAACAAATTATTCAAGTGTGCCATTAACTGAAAAACCGAAAAATAAGATATTTATGTAATGTAGTAGCCCTGCTGTTAGCACAAACTGGTAGAATAAGTTATTGTTTCCAGAATTACACGATTTTGTAGAATTTTCAGAAACAAGTAGATAACCGTCCAAATCAACTAGTATAAACCTTTATCAAAAGACAGCTCATAAAAAGGCGAATCGTGCTATGTGAAAATATACAGGGCGTTATATTTAGAATTTCTGAGATAAAAAACATTTTGCGTTTTGCACTACTCTGTATAAAAAGTTAATTTTATCGGCACTTTCAGCAGTTGTACTTGAAGTTAGCGCAGTTCTCTCCTCTCCAAAATTTAACGGAAAACTACCCAACATGGCGGAGGTCAAAGCCTACAAAGATAGACATTTTTTCAGATAAATAATAAAACAACTAAGTAAATAACCATCAAAACCCCTAGTGAATGATATCATTATTCTTGTTTTAGAAAGACTTTCCCAAATATCTAATAAAATATAGGTTGATCCATGTTTGTTATGTCTCGTAATTGTGGAAAACTCTGCATATTTCCAACTGATTTAGAAATATACACCCTAAATATCAATGTGGCCGCAAAAGCTGTTGTTCAATATATTTCTGTAACACTAATTTCCGTTTTCGTTGGAAAGTCTGTCCATTGCTTTTCTTTGGAATGAATGACTTGTAAAGCAAACTTAAAAATCCAGAAATGCATATGAATCTTGAGGAGAGACTGTGATTAGCCGAGTCCCATGTACTGCGATTATTCTGATAACTGAGATTTCATACGACAGTCTAAGTAATGTTAAATACTAGGCTTAAGTAGTCCTAGATAGAATAATGAAGCAAATTGAGTTTTTTAAATAAATCCATTTTTAAAAATCTCACATGAGATTAGAGACTGGCCAAATCTGATGATATCTCAAAATCGTCAAAAATTCGTAGTTACGAGGGATGTCTTTTAAGTTTTGCATATAGAAACATAGTAGGCTGCGCGGATCGAACGTCAGTACTGAATCTTAACCTCACTCTTTAGTAAACTTAAATTCAAAGTTTCACAACGATACGTGCAGTGTTCTCACTACAGTGAATTTTTAAGTGTCTCCAAGTCATTAGAAAAATGGAGTTTAACCGAGAACATGTTCGCGCCATAATTTATTACAACTTTCAGAGACAGTTATCGCAACAAGAATGCCTTGCCGAGTTACTGTCTGTTTTCGACAACGAAGCGCCACATCAGTCGACAATTTCTTGTTGGTATGGAGAGTTCAAACGTGGACGGGTGAATCTTAGCGACGATCCCGGGGTGGGTGCACCAAAAACAGCAGTCCAGGAAAACGTCGATGCTGTGAGCAAACGCATCATTGAAGATAGACATGTGACATATGGCGAGATTGAGGCGTCCTTGGAGACCTCAAAGACCTCATTTCAAAAAATTTTACATGAAGAATTAGGAGTAAGAAAATCAGTTTCTCCTGTTGACTGAAAAGCAGAAAGCAGCCAAGGTTAATTGGTGTCAAAAAACGCTTGACCGTTTCAATTTCGGAAACTCAAAAAATGTGTACAGCATTGTTAGTGGTGATGAATCGTGGATTTACTGTTATGAACCACAAAATATACGACAGTCGGCTGTTTGGGTGTTCCAAGGTGAAGAAAAGCCAACAAAAGTCATCCGTTCTCGAAGTGTTTCGAAAAAGATGGTCGCGACATTTGTGTCAAAAGCTGGTCATATTGCAACAATTCCTCTTAATGAGGAAAGAACTGTTACTGCGGATTGGTATACCACCATTTGTTTGCCAAAAGTCATCATCGAGCTTCAAAAGATCAACCCCGAAAGAAGAATCATCCTCCACCAAGACAATGCAAGCTCGCACACAGCAGAAAAAACAAGGCAGTATTTAACGGACGAAAACGTGGAATTATTAGCCGATCCTCCATATAGTCCCGATCTAAGTCCTAACGATTTCTTTACTTTCCCGAAAATTAAAAACAGACTGCGTGGTCAAAGGTTCCAGTCACCAGAAGAAGCAGTTGACGCATTCAAAAATGGCGTTTTGGATCTGCCAGGAACCAGTGGAATAAGTGCTTCGAAAATTGGTTCGAGCGCATGCAGATGTGTATTAATCTTCGTGGAGAATACTTCGCAAAACAATAAAGTCATTTAAAACTACCTACCGTGTTGTTTTATTTCCATATGCAAAACTCAAAAGACATCCCTCGTAGCTAATGAATTGGAAAGAACAACTAGAATCGGAGAACAGGAGCTGAAGTTCAAGATATTACATTTCCTTACTTCTGTATATCCAGTCCTGTGCTGGCCTGATATTTTTTAAAACAAAGCCTGTATACCCGGCGCCAGAAATCATTAGTCTGATCATCAGCATGGTACAATGT